ATCAGGCCCTTCATCAAGAAATGTTAATTAGATGTATTTCCTTCTGAAGACATCTGCCTGTGAGGAAAATTTCATCATCTATGAGATGCTCAAATAGTAACAATAGTAACAAGGCTCAATAGCTCAGTAGTAACAAGGCTCCACAGTCACCTGGGCAGTGAGAGTGCTGAACCTCTCAGATCCCAGTTCTGCTACTGCAGATCGTGACAAAGAGTGTTGGGGTTTTTTTTATCTCTGAAATAACCTCCTAAATAGCTGCTTCAGGACTGCTTAATGCAGGACTACTCCTGATGAATAAGATGACAGTCCAGTCTTGGGATTCCAACTCCTTCATACCAGAAGGTGTCACAGGCACCAGAGAAACACGCAGTGCATGGTCCCCCTCCTCCACCTGCACAGAAAAAAAATCGTGTGCCTTCAGCAGAAAATAAACCCATGCAATCAAATACCAGAAAGAGGTGGGGGAAAAGTCAGACAAGTGAAATAGATGGATCCGATTCCAGCATACCCCAAAGGTCACTCTGTGCAGGGCCTGCCGGAGGGAAGGTGGGAGCAGTGTCGCTCCTCCAGGGAGGGTGCCAAGCTACCAGTCTCTTGATGATTAATCCTGGAGAGCAGGAGGCAGTGGAGAACACTCTGCCAATTGCAAATGTGGTGATGGGGCACTGGGGGCATATATATGCATCATTAGTCATCTGCAAGAATTTTGTTTTTGTAACCTCTGCATTTTTATCTGTCACTTCAAGCAATAAATATGCACTCCCGCCAGTGATTTGACATTACACTTGCTTTGGATGGTTGCCTTTCCCAAATATTAATAGTAACTCATTGTGGACACAGCATTGGTATTTAGTTAGATCAGACCAGCTTCTTTTAAAAAACAACTTTTCGTATAAAGAGAACAGATGTTTTTAATTTACACAAAGAACAAAAACAAAGTTCTATTGTTCCATTATAGTGAACACAAACATTACAGACACAGAGAAATTAACACCAATTGCATGTTAAAAAAAAAAAATTAAAAGCCCATCAAGGTACAGGTCTGCTTATTTGTGCTTTTTCCACCACTTTAATGGCTTAGTGGCATGCAATGATAGCAACTGTTGCTTTTTGGAATTCATATGCATTTGAGTGTAGTAGGTTTTAAAGATAAAAATGGCATAAACACAAGGGCAATTTCTAAATTCACATTATACAGACAATAATAATAATAATAATAATAATACTTCAATAATAACAGATGAAGAATGTAAACTCTCATAGTCCAGAGCATAACCAACTACTTGCTCATGGGAATAGGAAGAAATTGCCTCTTTCCGCTGATTTTTCTATAGTTGTTCCTTACAGGTATATTTTCCCCTGCAGCATGTGCACAAAAGAGTAAGGCCTCAAGCCTCTGAAACAAGAATGTGCACATGAGGACAAACAGAGAAGTGACATCAGTCTCTGAAGTTATCTTGTGCCATGGTATGAAGTCCAACCAGAACTATCTTTCTATGCTATTTTACCCTGGGAATTCAAGAGCCTTTTGAATGCATTTACAAGCTCCTGGTGCATGTGGGTGGGAGCAGAGCTCAGGCTCATGTTCCTGCCAAGGTGACCAAGCTTGTTTCAGAATAGCAATGCTACCCTGCAGGTGGAGGCCACTTGCACATCTCTGTCTCACAGACACCCTGAGAAAACACTTCTCAGAGATAAAGCTTTATACCATTCACATTTATCACCTTCTGAACTCACAACCTGCTTATCTAATTCTCATCTTACTCCAAGGCATATTTTTTTCCCATGGAGAAGCATCTCTTCTAGAATCTCCTTGAAGATTTTCTAGAGTCTGTCTCTAGTTGACAGCCACATCCTACCTTCTTGGGCAGCCACTTCTAGGTTTAGAAACACTGACAAAAATATTTCTATCACTATTTAAGGTTTGCCAGTCCTGCAGTAGGAAGAGGACGAGCAGGGCAGAGATACCTTATATTGGCTTTTCCCAACTTATAAGCATAAGCAAAGATTCTATATAAGCAAAGACTGTTGCTCAGAGAAGTTGTGGATGCCCCATCCCTGGAATTGTTCAAGGCCAAGTTGGATGGAGCCCTGGGAAACCTGATCCAGGGGAAGGTGTCCCTGCCCATAGCAGAGGGATTGGAATTGGATGATCTTTAAGGTCCTTTCCAACCCAAACCATTCTGTGATTTTATGGTTCTGTGAATCTGCCTTCGATACATTAAAACAAAACTTTGCCCCATTCCCTCTCCCATTGCTCACTACTTTGTTTTTTTGGTCCAGTAATGGGTGCCATTTTACTATATCTCACACTCAGACTAAGTATCAAACAATGACGCTTACTTCAGATCAACACACAGGATATAGTGGGGAAAAAAACCAAAAACCAAAGAAAAAAACCACCAAAAACAAGCAAACAAAAAAACCCACCAAAACCAACCTCCTTGCATTTTAACCAATCGTAGAAATAAAGTTACCATTAAAAGGCCTGGGACACAAAAAATTGAAAATCTTTTTCTGTAGTATTCATGTAACCTGAGGATTTCAGTGCCACAGAAATACAGACACAAACACCATGACTCAAAGGGCTGGAGCCTTTTTCCACCAGTGAAAACAAGCCTCACTGGGAGAGGTGCTGCTCCAAGTGGCTGGTTTTAAACCTTCTAACACATTATATAATACAAAGCCCAGGTCCAGACCCATGCAGGAAAAAAAGAGAAACCAAAACATTACATTCAAACAGTACCTTTCAGCTCAAAAGAACCCAGGCCATGAATCATTTTATCCACCGCAGAATGCCATCACCTTGAAGCTGAAATGCAGCAGCTGTTTATTACCCTGCAAGAACATTAAGATGGGTGCTCCTTTGCAGCCAAAACAGCAAGAAAAACTGAGTAGACAAATAAAACAACCTGGAACACATAGGCTTATCCTCCCTACCTTTATAATGAGTACCAGAGGAACTTTAGGGACCACAAGCAGCTGATGCTTCCAGACGCCCAGTGCTAACAATGCTTTCCACAGCACTTAAGGGATCCTTGGAAGCCAAAAGCATTTGACCTGGACATGCTTTGCTTTGCTTGGTTGACAGCGAGGCCAAGAGTTTGCTATTACACACTGACCACAATTTCTATGTCACATCCAAAGTCACTTCTGCCACACTTAGAACCAAATTAATGCCAGAAACACAGTAATCAAGATAGTATGAGCTGCCCAAAGATGCAGTCTCACTGCTTGTGGCAGCTAATTGCAGTTGTGTACCTGCCCTGACAGTTGACTGCTAATTAATAAATTGCGATCATGCTCTGTCAAACATGGCTCCCTCAGACCCTGACTCACAGTATCTCGGGGAGATGCTACACGTCTCTTGGAAGTGGCTTATCAAAATTGGAACAGCTTGCTATCCAAATATACTGAAGTTTTCACTCAAAATTCAAAATCTCATTGTTACACCACACTCATCACTGTGGTATCTGAGTACGGCCATTTCCAGCAGAATTCCAGCTCCAGCTGGATTCCATGAAGAGTCACTCGGACGCAGAGTTAATGGGGCCAGGATCATGCAGCCAGTCCTGCATGGGCTCGTGAGAAGTTGTGGCAGAAGCTGGACTTCAGCTCCCAGTGAATGAGAAAGGGTCTTGTGGCCAAAGGACATTAATTAGGAGATTGCTAAAGCCCTGGGGCTCCACTCCAGAGCACCCACACAAGATGTGTGCCACTGTTCCCTGCTGCTGTGCAAAGTGACCCTGTCTGGCAGGGCAGTGATGGGGGTACTGCTGTTACTGCACAGGTCTTCTGAGACAGGGAGAGACCACACCGATTGCACTGTGTCCTGGGAGTGGATGTGCCCACTGGATTTTGTTTATCCCACAGTGGTGTGAAGTGCACAGCAAAAACAATCTGTTCTACAGCACAGCTCTGTCTGTTTCACAGAAACAAAGTAAGGTAAGAATGTTTGGTCAATGGCCCAAAATGGGGGCAAAAAGGAAACTGAGCTCTGGGTTGAAATGGCTAAAATGTCAACCTAAGTCTCTTGTACTCCTCACCCTGCCCTGGCTCATCCATGGCACATAAGCTGTATTTTTAGCTCTCCAAGCCTCTCAGCCTTTCTTTCCTGGGTCACTTGCAGTCCCAGAGAAACAACTCCCATTATGAGCAAAGACTTTCCCAGGCAAGATGCTTGGCCATTTACAGACCTGCACATGGCCTGACTGATACAGAGATATTGCAGCACTTCTGAAAACAAGATGTTTTCACCAAAACACTCTCTGATAATCAAACAAATCAAAGGGCAACCTAACTGGATCCACAAAAGCAAAACGTGCTGCTGCCAAAGTACTGCTGTTATCTCTGGCATGGCTGGGTCACTGAGACATTTCACAGAAACAAAAATGTATTTCCTGTGTAGACCAAATTAAAATACCTCTGGAGAAATGTTTCTTGTGTTCTAAAGACCTGAAGCTAGAGCTACCCAACTGGCTTGTAAGAAATGAGAATACTTCCCAGGGGTTGATGGAAAGCACCAAGTCTGCTGTACTCATTACATTAGGCTCAGCAGCAGCCTCTGACCTTGCAAATATCTGGCAGGAGAGTGTTGTGCCCTCCCAGAGAGAGGGAGCTGCCTCCCCTGCTGGGAGTGAGCTCTGATAACATTGGAGGGCACTGCAGGATTCCACCCAGGTGTCCTTCCACAGCAGAAGCCACTGGCCTCTCCTGGTCCACACAAAAGGTTTGGAGAAGACAGCACAGTCTGTGAAAGGAAACCTGTACCCCTCCTCCTGGGTCTGACCAAGTTCCACCTGCACACCTGGGTCTGCTTTACTTCACAGGGAGGAGGGCTTTGCTGCCCATGCACAGGTCTCTGGGGACACATGGAGGCTGTGGGTCACTTGCTGCACAGGTAACAAGACTTTGGTTTCCACCTCCTTAATTTTCCATTTTGATATTTTATTTGTTCTCTCTGTTCTCCCTATTATTAGTTCATGTGCTTATACTGCAGGATCTGGCTGTTTTTCTTCCTGTTCTGGCTGGGACAAGGCAGGCGGATGGCTCCCCCAGGTTGGTGAAACATGATAAAAGCAGAGTGGGGACAGAGGCAAGGATGAGAACTCGGTTATTTTGCTCATAACACAATGTGCCTCTTCTCTGCCCTCCAGTCCCACTGACTCATCAGCTCTATATGTGCTCCCACTAGGTTTTGTAGAGAGCAGTTGCCACTCCAGAATTTTTTGGATGAAACTGAATAAACTCTTGCTCCAGGGAAAGTTCTTCCAGCTGGAAATCTATGGTGAGTTACAAGTGGCAGCCCCAAATAACATGGAGCTGGGGAATCACCTAAGTGATCCCAGAGTCTGTGATGTGGATGCTGCTGCCATCTATTGATAACTGGTAGCTCACCCAAGGACCCTGCAGCACATCCTTGTCACCCTGAGCCAGCCTCTCCCTCCTCAATTTGGCCACTACGCCTGCAGAGGAGCAGAGCTACAGCCACAGCCCCCTCTGCCCTGTGCTGCTACGGGGCTGGGAAAGGACAAAGGATGGTCTGAGGAGCAAGGACTGACATTTGGCTTTCATTCTTTTCTCTGCTGAGCCCTTACCCATGTCTAGCAAGGAAAACAAAGGCAACGTTAAAGATTGGATGTGTCCCGAACAGCATAATGACAACAGCAGTGTAGGCTGGGTAATACTCAGAAAACACACTCTCAATGAGAGCTGAGTGAGTGCTGCAGCAATTAAAGGACTTTGGAGGCCATCTTTAGTTCCTTTTTATTTAACACCACAACAGCATTTAAATACCACTATTCAGATTGGACAAAGGGGTTCCATTTTTTGCAGAAAACAAAAATCTTCAGAACCAAAATGAAAACCAGAAAATGTTCACATCAGATTGTAAAAAGTATGTGATTTCACCCCAAACCTAATTAATTCCTCTTGAGATCAGTGCACTCTTTTCTGGGTTAAGTTTTTTTTCATTTGATTTGGAGGCAGAACTGAAAAAATCAAGTACGGAAAGGGTGTGGGCAGAAGGGATAGCATTTATGAGAGTAACTGATACTGCTGGAAAAAACAGACCAGCCTTCAGGCACAAAATGCTGTTTGTTTCTTCCAGCTCTATCAGCTGGTCTCATAAAAGCTATTCCTTCTTCTTCCAAAATTATTCCCACTTATCTCCTGAGCCTATCCTGCCTGCAGGCATCCATCTACTGAAACAGCAGTTCTAGAACTGACCAACACTTAGGCATGACAGACAAATCTAGAAATTGCAGTGGCAGCTAGTTAAACCCTATCTATTTGTACAGATTCTTGTGTCTAACCCAAGACTAAAATAGTTCCTTAATCAGAGGGCAGATGATTAACAAAATATGATGTTATTAGTTCTACCATCATCAAGAGCTGAGCACAGCCAGTCCCTGTCCTGTCTCTTGTTGGCTTCCCCACAGGCCTCACAGCACACAGAGAGAAGCAGAAAACCTGATCAATATGTAAAAGTGCCCACCCAAAACAGGTCTGTGACCACATCCTTTGAGCAGAGTGAGCAGCAGATTATCCCAACTTGATGATTTTTAGAAACAGATGGGTTTAATAGCCCATAACTTTTCCAGAGGCCAAAATCAAGGAGAGAGAAATGTAGGTGACGCTTCAGAGAAACTCTCCATAATAGCACTTCAAAGTGGCAATGGCACAAGCTTCTCAATGCAAGGAAACAGGCATTGAAGTGCACATGGTGTGTGTGAGCTTGAGTCATGCCAAACTGTCTCATGCAGTCCTACACATGCCAGCACAGTGTCACCAGCTCCTTAGCAGCACACGTCACTGGAGAGCACCCAGCCCACGTGGAGAAACGCTGCATGAGAGGGCCTCAGCACCACTCTGCCCCAGGACTTGCCTTGAGCTTTACATCCCACATATCCTTCCCTTTTTCTGCAGATCCTCATTCTGGCCCTGTTCTGCTGGATGAGAAATTAGCATCTCGCTGTGGCTATGTCCTGTCAGAAGACGTGTGGGGCAATCCCGTCTTCCGCGCCTCGGCTCTCGGCTGTCACGTGGCCAATGAGGTAAGGCCCAGGCACTTCCAGGCCTTGGAAGCAGCTCAGGCAGTACATCTCCTCCAAAAACACAAGACTGAGATAGTATATGGCATTCTAATGGCATGATTTGAGAATACTGAACTCAAGGAACTAGTGTTGGGAGTGTAGTGTGGAAATGAATAGGCAATGGCTCTCTGCTGTGAGGTTTGCCCAGTGTGACTGACATGGGATTTCCTCTCTCCATGGAATGACACTTATCCTAATGCTGCTGAGTAGCTGCCAGTTCTCAAGCATATCCTTGTAGCTGCTGATTTGCCAGAGAGTTTCTTGAAAGCCTCTCTGGAAAGAAGTAGGCATCTGCTTGAAAAAGCAATGTTTGCAGTGTGATTCTGGCAGATCATTTCCTGGCTTAATTTGTGTGGTAATGTGCCTTTTAACACATGCCTAGGAACATAGATCACACACGTTTATTAGACCCAGATTTGCCTCACGTAACTTTAGCCATCTGAAAGATAATGTCTAGTCTAAACTAGTTGTTTGCTCTTCCACAATAGTCAATGGAGAGAAGCAGGCATCTCCAGAAGGTGATTCACCCCTTCCAAAAATATGTGTAAAAATGTAGCCTGGATTTCTAATTTCTAAATGTTAGTTGAGATGAAATATACCCAGAACCAGAACAAATCAGAGTAGAAACTTCATTGCTTGTCCATGTTTAGTCTGGTTGGTCCTGGAAGCCCCACAGAAAAAATATGGTAAAACTTTATAGGCAGAGTTAGCTAACAAGAACGGGGGTGTACAGTGTGCTGTGCAATGACCTGGGTTTCCAGGCTGGAAATTTCTCTGTAAAGGTTTTGCCTTCTTCTGTAGAAAAATACACATCTATGTCAGATAGAAGGACAGTCCATGGCTTTGTGTGTGGCTTCTGGGGAGCTGAAGAACCAAAAGGATATTTTTTATTGGACTTAGTCTAGTATTAAACATTAAATAGCATTGTAGATTAGGTCTGAACTACTTAAATCAAAACAAAAGTTCCACTACTTTCTTTGTGTGGAGACACACAGAGTCACAAAGAGGAGAAACATGAATCTCATGGTAAGGTAGGTCAGGTCTGCCCTTGACTGGCTGCTCCTTTATAGTGTGGCAAAAACAGAGCTGAGACAGGGTCTGAGGCAAAGGCTGTGAGTGCTGAGACAATGTCCCTGGCTCAGTAAGACCCTGCATACAAACCATTTCAGACAGGGTGGTATGTTGTAGGAGCTGTTACTGCAGTTCTCAAGCTGTTCTCATCATTATAAAACGCTCTCAGAAAAAGAACACTGGGCTGCACGGTGCCATGCAGCCACTCCTGGAACCTTCCACACCATCTGCTGAATTGCCAGTTTTTCTTCCCAGGCAGATGAGCTGTTTTCACTGACTGTGAACATCAAGGTCTCCTCATTTTCAAGCATGAGGGCAGCTGTCACCTACACCTACCCCATGTACTGCTCCTATGCATCCTGGGCTTCAAGAGAAATTGTGTGTGAAGAAAACTACATGGAGGTAAAAACCTTCCCACTGAAGGCAAGGCTACATCCAAGCTCCCTGCCAGGCACAGCAACCTCCACAAATTCCTGTCAGAAGTTGATTGTACCCCATGTACCAGGCATAACAGAAACCTGATATTTATCAGAGTGTGTAACTGTAGATCTGATTAGTAACACATTTACATGCCATAAATATTTTGTATGCAGCAAAACTCAGTTAACTGTACAGATGAATTAAGGCAAGCCTCTGCAAGCAAATCAACAGAGAGGCTTAAGGCCAAGCTCTTAAGCTCATGAGAGTCCCTCTTGGTTATAAAGTGCTGCAGCAGTGAGAATGTCATCTTCATATCTGAAATAATAAAACCTAGAGTTTGCAGAGCTGCATCTCTGCTGAATCACACAACTCACAGGACGTAACTGTGAGACAGGAGCTGACTCCTGCCAGGTGTGCAATTGGGCTGCTTGGCCTGCTGCCATCGCCTCCACACCAGTGTAGAAATGAGGCAGCAAACAATCCAAATTTCATTGCTTTCTGTGCATGCCTGCAACAGGCAGGAGAAAGAAAGCAGATTTCTCCTGTCAGAACTCAAGGCTGCGCAGTCATGTCTGGGTGTTGCAACACAATGAAACCATGGTACCAGTGTCTTCTGACTGTCCTGTTTCCTTGCCTCACTCTGCAGCACATGTGGGAAGGATTTACACCACAGCACCTGCCTTAGGTACTGGGGACCCTGCATTTTCAGGTTTTCAGCCTGCATGGGAGGAGACAACCAATCCTGTTAATGCCAACAACTGCTTTCCTACACCTCCAATGCAGAGACCCAGGCAAACTAACTTTCATTTTAAGGCCACAAAAATTACTGCTACCAAGAACCTCCATGGAAACATTTTAATTACCTCCAATGAATGCAAACTGATAAATCTTGATAGATACTGTCCCCCATGCCTGTAATAGTACTGAAGATCTGTTTGCTCCCATTGCTCCTAAAGAATCTCCTGTGTCCCCAGGTGTCAGTGAAGACTGATGTCCCAGCAGTTTCAAATGACTACACCGTAGCATGGATGTCAGCACTGCCAGAGGTATGAAGGGGAGTCTTTCCTAACAGTTCCTAGCCTGCCTCTTCTCTCTGCTCTTATGAGTCATTCCTGGGGCATAGCTCCATCTCAGACAAAAAAAGGGAGATGACAAATTTGCCGTCAAGTACTGAAAACCTCTCAAGTATTTTTAGACCTCTAGGCTGCAAAAAGACATTTAGGTGGGAGAACAGAGTCATACACTTGTTCCATTAGTGGAAACTGAGTTCAAGACAAACAAAGGTAGGTGGTTCTTCACACAATGGGTAGTGAAACTGTCAAACTCATCACCAAAAGATGTTGTGGCTGCTAAAATCTTACTTGATCCCAAGGAAAGTCTGGAAAAGTTGACTGAAGAGAAATCCAATAAGACACACAAAATACAAAGAAGGTACAGATAGCTCAGGAGTCACTGAGATGAAAAATATTTGAGACTGGAAAGAATGAGTGGAAAATTATGACAGGAGCATCTATCTTATGAGGAAAAGCTGAGGGAGTTGGGCCTGTTTAGACTGGGAAAGATTAGGAGAGGATCTTAGTACAAGTATCTGAAGGAAGGGTGTCAAGAGGATGAAGAGGTTCTCCTCAGTGGTGCCCAGCAGTAGGACAAGAGAGCAGACAGAAACTGATCCACTGGAAGTTCCACCTGAATGTGAGTAAGAATGAAACAGATTGCTTAAAGAAGGTGTGGAGTCTCATCTGGAAAAATTCAAAAGCTGCCTGGACACAATCCTGAGTACCACGCTCATGGGGAACCTGCTTAAGCAGGGAGGTTGGACTAGATGGCCTCCAGTGGTTCCTTCCAGCCTTAACCATTGTGTGATTCTGTCAAATACATATGCTTGTCCCATGTTTCTCATGTCTTACTTGCTCCTGATGCCCATTTTCCTTTTGACTGTGCTCCCATATGGCCATCACTGCAGGGGACTGTGTTCTAGGCCAGTACAGGCATTGCTCTCTTCTTATGTTTAACACAGTATGGCTACACACTGCAAATGGTAGTCTGTCATTTGGTCCCTGGACTGCTCCAGCAGTCAATAGACATGGGGACAATCAGTTTCTTAACAACACATATTTTCTCCACAGTGGATTTGTACAAGGCCACCTGTCTACATTTCTTCCAGGGCTGCTAGAAGAGTATCCCTACAGATGCCTTAAAGAGCTCTAGAATTCCTTATCTTTACATATTCATACATATATATATATATATATATATATACACACATATATATCTCAAGGGTATTTCTTGCCTGAGATGACCTCCTAGTGTGATTTCAGTTACTCCCACTTCTAGCAGGAAAACAGGCACTACAGTATCACTACTCAGCTTTTTAAGAGACATGGAACTGATATAGCTCATCTCTCTCTTGCAGACTCAAAATGTTGCATACCAGCAATGGCAACTGATGTTTGTTTCTCCATCAGGGAGAAAGAGAATAACAGTAAGTGATGCAGTAAAACTGGGCTACAGCTTCAATAACAGCCTGTCCCGAGTGTACCTGCGAGCGCCCTACCACAGCAACGAGTCTGATGTCAGCGTGGTGAGTTGCTGATCCCAGCCACACACAAAGCTCTGCTGTTCTCACTGTCTCTCCAGAACATCAGCTCTCTTTTTCTGCCTGGGCTCAAACAGGTCAGTGGTGTAAATATGAACATGATCACTTCCACTTCCATGTACAGGCAGCGGTGGCTGCTATTGCTGATTGACACAACGGTCTCCTGTCCTGTTGGTAAGGATCTCTTCCTTCTGCACTAAAAATAACCACCGAAGGAGGTAGTAGAAAACACAGTCTTCCCATTCTCACTAAGAGAAGAGGTTTACAAGCTTCCCTCAGAACAACATGAGCTAAGAGTCTGTGGCTTTAGTCCTGGACACAGTCCCTGCTGTGACACTATATTATTTGTGTTCCCAGTGCAGTGTCATGTCTCTGGTTTCTCAAATCCCCACATTAGATGCAGGGAACTGGAAACAAGCAAAACTATAGAAGAGCCAGGGAGCCTCCCCTGGACTAATCCCACAGCCTTGGCTCTTTTTTTTCCATACTATTCCATGCAAGGCATACAGCTCTGCATCCTTGAAACTCACATAATCCTTTTCTCTGGAGAGGCAGGACTGGCCTGGCTTTTTCCAGAGAAGTGGTGGCTGCACCTGGCTCTCACAGCCATTAATAATCTCACAAAGATTATTAATTTGAACAAGTGATGAGGAAGCACAAGGTTTTAAGTTGACGAGACCTTGAAGCCAGTATTTCAAGAAGGTCCAAACAGGTTGCTCTGTGCCCTCTTCCTTCTGCCAGTAAGCCCTGGGACAACAGAGCAGGTAGCTGGGAGCACAGCTGCCACTCTTCTGAATAAATTTTTACCTCCAGTTCTTCTGAATAAATTAATTATTCACCTGAAATTGATTCAGGTCTGCTTCGAGCACCAGGGTCTCTGTGACAAAATAGCCATCATTTGGCTAATATCCTACAAGGTGTTGCATCAGTGAAAGCTGTAGAGATATCCTGGTGAAATGGAATCAGGGAAAGGCAGAGACAGGACTGAGTGGTAACTCAAATTGCCCCTTTTCTGGAACTGTCTATCTAACTCCACAGATGGCATCACCTTCACCGATACCACGCTAACATGGACCGTGCCAAGAGTTATCCCCACACTAGTGGTCCAGGAATCCACCTTTCTGTCTAAAAGCATTGTAATGGGAGTGGATGATCAAGTCATAGTGAATCCAGAGGAGATGAACTACTTACTGGAGTACAACAAGACACACATCAGAATAACCATCCCTACTGGAGCAGAAGGAGGCAAGCTAGAGGTGAGTACAGACCTGGCACACACAAATACATTTGAGGGCCTGTACTACAGGTGTTTCCCAATCATGACAAATCCAAATACTGATTGACTGCTGCTAAAAATTTGCAGATACAATAAATATTTGAAGAGCTAGATGCTTCTCTAAGTTAGTGCTTTGAAAGCACTTACTCAGAAACTAGGAATTTAAAATGACAAAACACGGTGGAAGCAAGAGGTTGCCTTTTGCTAATAATCTATAAGACATACTAATACATTAAGAGTGAAGGGATTTCTGGACATTGGAATTTAATTGTCTCTGTTGTTCAATAATTAAACTAGTCCTGGTAAACTTCTTGCCTAGCTCAATGAGTAATTTCCCTGCCAATTTCCAAGACAGCATGATTTAGCAAGGGACAGGTTCTCTGCATGTTGTTGGGGTGCAGTCACCTGCTTTGAACATAGTTTATTCCTCATCAATATATAATTTACAGATACAGAGGCAATGTCATAAGGAATGTTCAGTAGAACAGAAGAGAATAGTTTGGGATAGATGGCACTTTTAAAGACAATTTACTCCAGACTCCACTGCCATGGGCAGAAACATCTTTCACTAGATCAAGTTACTCAAAACTCCACCCAACTTGAACAACTAGAAAGGAGTTGGCAATATTCCTCAAGATGGCACTGGTGTGATTTTTACTTATCCCCTTCTTGAGTTCCCTATTTGTGTAACAGACAGAACAAGAGACTGGTAATACAGGGATGGTAAAAAAAAAAAAAAAACAAAACAAATGTGGTGATGTGATAAACTTAATGAGGACACCCCTGATACTTCCTTGTTAAAGATCTGAGCAGTATCTGAGCCACACATGGACCAGACTAATGGGCCAAACTACCAAACAAACAAGCAAAATCTCCTAGCAAAATCCATCCCAGGCTGTACTAGAATACCATTTGCTCTTCCTAGTGTGAGAATTTTAACCATATTCAGTCAAATCTTCATTAAGCTACTGAGAATTAAGACTTAATCACACATTTTACCTGCTAGAGCTCCATATCTGGTGGTGTCTATGGAGTCATTTACTGCATTGACCTGTTTCTGGAGCACACGTGGACGGATGCAGATTGGCAAACCACGAAGTATACAGTCATCAAATCCATCACCACACCTTTCATGCCACAAATACCAACTGTTACCAACAGTAAGTCTTTCCTCTCATTGACTCTTACTAATCTTCTGCTGTGCTATACATTGCTCCACCCAACCTATGCCACACATCTACATTCACCAGAATGTTCTCAACTCCCACTTACAATTTTCTAGGCAAAGTCAAGATTCAAGTGTTATATTCAAACAAACAAACAAAACAAAACAAAGAAAAGCCCTTTAGTCTTAACTTATAAGTTGCTGATAAAAATGTAAACATTCCTTTCGTGTTAATACCTGGATTTTTCCAATGAGCACTGGAATAAAGATGTAGTGATGTGCAGTTATCACACTGGGAAGAACTGTCTAAGGACAGCAGTCGTTGATGGTATTTTCTCCCCCAAACTGCCTGCATTTGATACCTTGGGAGCACACTGAAATCAATGTGCCACCCAGTGCTGCAGTCATGGTTTTTAAATTTTATTTCCCGATGCATTAAGGCACTAATGATTCTTGGAATTGTCTGGATAAGTGATATAAAAAGAAAAAGGAGCCTCTTACCATACATTATGATATTTTTTTCAAATTTTATGTAGCTGAACTAGATTCTAGATTTCTTTAAAGGTATTGCACATCATAGTGCACCTCTAGAAAGTCACTGAACCCACTTTATAGAAAGTTCTATGTATTTGTTGTTAATCCCTTGCATCTTGAAGCAATTCTCATGTACTCAAGAGGATTTCAGATCTGACTAGAACACAAACACTCATTAATCAGAGCCATTAAAGAGATGGCTGTTGGCTAAGTTTCCTGGAATTTGAATGCGAGGCCACCCCAACGTCTTCCTTATTTGATCCACATCAGCAGTAATTTGATGCTCTCTCCCTGCAGACACTGTGCCAGAGGAACGGCTATTTAATCTTGCATTTGGACACTTTCTTCCCGATGTCTCTCTGGTGGCAATCACAGTAGGAAATGTGCCATTTTCCCTGAGGGAAGCACAGCACCACGGCTTCAAGATTTATGAAACTCCCTTTTCTAATGGAACAAAAGCATTTATCCTGGAAGTCTCTTTTGATGATCCATATGTTCTGAAAGAGGTAGGATACAGCAGGTCACTTCAGCAGCAGAGTGCAGGAGGTGGGGCAGTCCCTTTGCAAAGCATGGTCCAGCTTTTATCCACCATCAACTGTTCCTTGATCATAAAGGTGTCAATGAGTCTGAGATCATCTGAGTTAAGATTAGAGGCTTTTATGTCCCCACCTTGCTCTCCATAGATCTCTAGGAGATCAGCATCAAGTGTAATTAGATGGGATGAAATGTTACTTCCTGTAGCGCCTGTCAGCATGGCTAATGTCCAGGTGCACACACAACAGGAAGAGGTTTGTCAAGTCTGTATTAGATGCTGCCCTTTGAAACAGGAGTGTCTTGGAAAAATAAATTGATTATTGCAATGCTGGCAAATACCAGTTTCAAAAATACAGTAACTCCTGAACCCACTGTTTGACTGCTGGCACAGGCCATGCCCCGTGTGAGCATGCTACAGGCAGGCTCAGGGTACTCTAAATGTAATTTTGTTAAGCTTCAGACCATTTGTAATCCAAATATTTGTAAAAGGTATATACTCACAGAGGGATTTCAACCTCACATTTCAGTGGGAGGATGCATAACAGCAAGTCATCTACAACTCTTTCAATCAAACCACTAAAGGGCTGTGATGCTGTTACAAGGAATAACATTGTGAACACACAGGATTTCTGCAGATAGTCTTCAGGCTGCAGTCAAACCACAGCCAAATTGCATTAAGGATCAACGCAAGAAAAGAAAAATCTAGAAGTATTTCTTTCAGGTTGAGCACCAGGTTTTGCTTTGGGAGCACTTTCAGTGAAGGAAAAGAGGATATTGAGAGGGAACTCTCACAGCATCTCCTCACATCTTCTGTTCAACCATCACTTACTCTCCTGGTTTCAGCCCACGCTCTGACTAAAGAAGAATAAGGATTTGGATCTGGATCTCCCTCTATGAGCTCTTTCACCACTGGGCTACAGAGGAACCACCACTGTGTTCACTTCTGTCTTCATTTTCTGAAAAGGCACAACATTCTCCACGTTTATGTTTGGCTGAAAGAGCTGTTGAATCCAGGCCAGATTTCTGAATAGCTTTAGGCCAGCTGAAGCGATGCTTTTGGAACCTGAGCTATTTGCAGGGGAGAGGAGGGTGTTGGAATAATTATTTAATGTTGTTCAGAATATACATGCCTGCCTATTCTGAAAGCTGCTGCAGCTTTACTCCTCTCTCTTTCAGTATGTGAATAGAAATGAAACAAAATACACCCTCCTGGTCAACTACACCCTTAGCGTGGGTCCGGAGATGACACTCTACTATCATTCAGCAGAGGTGGAGTGTGTGATTGCTGATATTGGTAAGCTTTCCCCTGACATTAACTGGTTTGCATCGACAGCATGGCTGTCATTGAATTCAGTGAGAGCATCAGAGTGAGGGTGAGAGCTTTGGGGAAAACCCCACCCCTGCACAGCTCATTGTTGGTAACAGCCAAGTTGCTGCTCCACTGATGGCAGCTCTTCTGCATACTGGCAAGACAGTCTGCCCTCGAGACACTGACAGCAATAAAACAAGTGTGTAGAAGAAGTTGGCTTGCAAACTTCAGTGTGAACAAGATGCCTCAGAACATGAACATACATCTACTGGCAAAACTTTCAGACATTGCTACAAGTTTCAGTTTGTCCTCAAACACAATTCTGCCTGCACATCCAGGGCAGAACTTAACTGACTCAAAAACATTGCTGTAATCTCCAAAGACAGTATTTCTGTAAGGAGAAATCATCCACTAAGAGCTGTACATAGCAGGTTGCTGAAACAGTCAGGTCTCTTTGGTATTTTCTCAAATTTATTAGATTTTTGCATGCCACAAAGATGACAGTCTCCTCGCTGTCCTATTTTATCTCTGAAATAGCTCTTGGTTCAGCTCAAAGGCTGATCAAAAAATGTATTTACATACATAGCTCAGCTTGCCTTACTGAAACAGGGAACAGTCCTGGAAGTAAGCTGGCAGCCCCTGCTGGAGCAGGACTCCCCTGCTCAGATGTCAGCTGGTACACCCCCGACAACACAGCCAAGCCCTGCAGACAGAGCCAGCATGCACATTGCTGCTGGGGTTTCTCACCTGTGATAGAAATCCCTGCCTGGGCCAAACCTCAGCACTCTAACTTCCTTCATTGCTAACTCTTCATCCCACCTTCTTCCCACAGAAGTACCCGAAGCAGTTGGTTCCTGCGATGAAGAAAACCTGTATCTAACCCTGCCCACTTTTGGCTTGCACCAGTACTGGGAGCTGTACCTTGGTAACAAGCTCCTGAACCGGCACCTTGCCCTCACCAATGGGTACCTTGCAGCCACCAACTCCACACACCTGATCTTGCAAATACCTCTGTTTGCTGGGGGACTCATCTATGAGGTACAGGAGCTGTTCAGCAATGCCTTTTCTAAAGCACATGAGACTGCTTGCTCTCACAGAGTTCTACAGTCACAGTAGTGCCGTGGTATTGCACATATTGGAAAACCTCCAGAGGGAAGGACTCTGAGACAGAGCAAGTAGGACAAGAGGCATTGGACATGGACCCTTATGGTAATGCCATGTATTGTGCAATCTGCAGTCCACACTTGTCTCTAAAAGATATGCACCAAGCCTTCAAAAACAAACTCCTCAGTGTTTTTAGTAAGATGAGGCAAAATATCCCATCTGCACTGAGCCAGAAACAATATTTCAATATATCTTTTATGAAAGAAGCTCTTTTAAAGGAAATTTTGCAGAAAATTAAGGACATGGCAGCAGGGGAAAATTGATGCTGTAATAATTTGAACTATTCTACAATAATCAACCCAAATTTATCTCTGTGGCAGTGACTGATAAATTCATACAAGAAAATTTGTACTTGTAGTTCTGCCCCCATGTAGCTTCAGGCTTAAGGCTTCACACTGATTTAACTCTTGTGACTTGTTAGTAATCAAGTGGCACAAGCTATGGAGCAGAACTTGGTACATGTGGATGATGTACAGGAGATCACAGATCTCTTCCATCTCCTCCTTCACAGGAAGTGTCCTTTCAGAAAATCAAAGCAAGGTTTGATGTTGCCTTAAGGAAAGTGAGAACTATGGAGACCTTACAGATGTTCTCCATTAGCTGCAGTTTTAATTCTTCAGCATTTATAAGTAAGCTATACAACTGATCAATCAATAAAAGATGTGTGATTCTTTCTTGAACTCATAACCAACTCTGTCTTTCTCAGTATGCCATCCAGATGGTACCATAATGGTATCTGCCCAAATGAAGACAGTTCCTGCCATTGACATGAGTAAAACCAAGCTCAGGGACAGCTCCTGCAAGCCTAAGGAGTATAATGAAGCCCATGCCTTCTTCAAGTTCCATGTCACTACCTGTGGCACTTCAGTAAGGGTAAGTCCATGGCCAGAGCAGATACTCCTGCTGGAACTGTCTGCCTCTCCTGCATTTTCCCTTTTGATCCCCTGCCCCAGCTCCTGAGAAGAGTCAATTTACAATGAGCTTCCTATATGCACAGTTTGAAGGTGACCACATTATTTATGAAAATGAAATCTCCTATGAGAAAGAGACTCTTCCAGGACAGAGCATACCAACAATCACAAGAGATCCAGACTACAGGTAGGAGCTGCTGCTCGCTGACACTGCTCACTTCTGTACAGCTGCTGGGAAACAGATGTGAACATAAAAATTGCTGTTTCTTCTATTCTAGACTAACGGTCTTGTGCTACTACCAAGCAAAAGAGACCCTAGTGCTCGGTGCCTTCTCCAGGGACCTGGCCACGTCCCCTTCCTTTGGCTCTGGGACCATGTTCCCACATTCAAATACTGCAGGTGTGAAATTCCCTTCCTCCATTTTTAAACCTCTCTGATTCTTTCCATCCTAAGTTCCCTTGTTAAGACATGCCTTACTTTCACCTAAAGAAGCTCACTAACATTTCCTTCTCTGCAGCTTACAGAAGGGTAAGACAAGCTCTGAATGTAGTTTCAAGAGTGTCCAAAGGTAAATCTCCTTCTACAGAAATCAAAGAATATCCAAGTATGTTTTAGTTTAAATCATATTAAACAACAAAATCCCCTGACATTTTCTCAAGATGAATCCTTCATGGAGTTCTATGGGCCCAGCATGGCAATTCTCAAACAACCCATGGAGCCTGTGTTTCTTGAGGTGGAGCTGAAGGACGAGAGCCCCAGTGCCGAGTTATACCTGGAAAACTGCTGGGTAGCCACATCTCCAGACTTCAACAGCACCCCAAGATGGAACATCACTGTGGATGGGCAAGTATTGTTAAATATCCATCAGCACTCATCAGCAAAGCCCTAATGTCTACTTATATCTGTTGATCTTTCCTCTCAAATAGGTGTGAGATGAATGGCAGTGAGTTTGCTGCAGAGTTCTGCCCGGTACCTGTTAGCCCCAGGGTGAGACACCCTCCTCACTTTAAAAGGCTGGCAGTAAGGACCCTGGCACAGCAACTGGAACAGGTAGGATTGAGTGAAAGGCTCAGCTCCCACTCATGGACCCTATCTGAAGTCTGGATGATGCCCTCAGTCATGTGGTTTAGTTGGAGGTAGCAAGGAGCAGGAAGCTGGACTTGATGATCCATATGGGTCCCTTCTAACCTGGGATATTCTGTGACTTTATGCTTTGAGAAATAGATTTAGGCACCTCACAGACTTAAACCCCAGCCAGCATTCAACTCAACTACCCTAACTGGTGCATAGCTTTAATTCAGTTCTCTTCTTAAATCTCCTCTGCCACCTAGCTGACTTGAGATTGGACAGGCTGGAGTAAACAAAAGCATTTGGTATGTAAATATGATTTTTATATGGTGGTTCTGGCTTTGTGTAGGATCAGATTAATATCACTTCAGCTCAAAATGTCTAGAGGAGAAAAATCAACTTATATGTCCCAATATCCATATGAATTTCAGTTCTGCTGTCACTCATCTGTCCTAGCCAGTCATCCATCTCCTCAGGCATCAGACAAGCAGAGGCATGTGGGTTTGGCCTTAAAGGTCTCTAAGGACTAAGGAGAGCAGAGAAAAACCCAGGACAGTCACCTGAGGGTAATTTGCTCCTTGTGCATCCAGCTGAGTGAGCTGTCTGTCCTGACATGTACTGATAGCAGCCATGGTGTGTTCGCCCTGCCTGGGCAGCTCAAGTAACTGCATCGTTATTTACTCAGCCTTTCACAGGCACCTCAACTCTTGAACTTGCTAGAAATGAACACAATGCAATTCTGGCTTGTGCTGCTTCCTAAGTGTGCAGCTGCAGCAGGCACCAGATTGAGTTCCTCTCTAGTTTTGATACACTGCAGCACGTGAGCGAATTTTAACTTCTCCTGTCCCAGCCTCTCAGTTACCAAACTGCTGAGGGCTTCCTTGACTCCAACTTTAAATTCAAGGCAGGTTCAGCTAGAAGGTGCCACATGGAGGTGGCATAAGTGCCAGAGAAGTATAAGTCTAATCAGATGTAGTTTCTGCAAAAGGCAAGGACAAAATAATGCTCTGCATAGTGAGATTTGATGTGGATCATGTTGTATTTTTTCTTCCTTTCAGATGTATGTGCACTGTTTGGTGGCAGTGTGCTTTCCTACCAACACACAACGTGGCAGCACCTGCAGAGGACAGTGCAGCTCAAGCAGGGAGAGGAAGGGTAGGTTGTGGAGGAGGAAAAGAACCATTGCAATGCACCCCTGACCTGATGTTTCTCAGAGATTTAGGAGCTCTGACTTTGGCATCTGAAATGCCTTGAGCATGGACTGTAAACATGGATGTCACCTTTAAGCATGTATGTGTTCTTTAAAAACTACACAAATACCCTGTGTATCATTCTCAGGCTTTCCAAGTCACCCTTCTGACAGTCTCCAGGGCTATGTCCTTGCTGGACCAGTATGGGCTGTTGCTCCAGATCGAAGACGACACACATAAACTGAATTTGGTAAGAACACCAGGCCCTGTGTACTCTCCCCGAGAGGTCACCATGCTTTGTGACACAAGCGATGCAGAGCCTGTCCTCCAGGACCTCAAAAATAAAAGTTCTGGGACAAGAACAGGGAATGGAGATGGTTTGCAGTCCCATGGTCTCAGCTTGAGCCCATGAGAGAGGGAGGAAGGAGAGCTCCCTGCCAAGCCAAACACAGCTGGTGTGGCTCTGGAGCAGATGCCAGCAACAGAGCAGGGCAGGCTGGACTTGGGCCATAGCAGGCAGTTTTGGAGCCAGGTATTATTTCAACAGGTTTTCAACAGGAGTGCCCCCAGTCTGAGAGAAAACAGATCCAAAATTTTAGAAACAAACACTAAGGCACTAAGGCATGCTGCCATATTCCAAACGCTTTTGAATGGTTCAAATCCTCCAAAGAGTAAGGTTTCTCCTATAGCTTCATCCACCCTTGGACAACCAGAACTGCTGAGCTGTCTGCTCCAGCATCACTCCTCACTTCAGCCAATGTGTGTGTCTCCAACAGCACCTGAAGGCTCTGCTGTGCTGGCTGCTTTCCAAATGGTGCCACTGGACACAGGAGCTACTGCTTCCAGGAACCACCAGAACTATTTGCATGAAGCTTAAATACCAGATGGTGGGACAGCACTGAAAAGTTCTTGAGTCTACTAACAGGATCAGTAAATCTTGCAACCTGTTGCCTCTCTGAAGTGGCTACAGAAAAAACTTAGCAGAAAATGACCCAAGGCTGCAAAATAACACTTAGTGTCTCTTCCAGATGCTCAAATATGGACTTGCAGATCACTAAAATTATTCCAGCCCTGATTATGGCTGCTTCTTGTAATACTTCATAAAGTGACTGCCAATCCTCCCATCTGAATGTAAAGTGCAAATCTGAAAAGTCAAATAAAAATACACCAGAGCAATGTAAGCACAGAACATCTCCTTGCTAATGCGCAAGAGCAGCCATCTGCTGTACCAGCACTGGCTTCAAAGAGCCAAGCAATCACTGCCAGCACCCCTCCAGCTTGCAGCACTAGGGCACACACTTCTTCCCACTAATGCAGAGCTTTGTCTGTATCATGACATCAACCTGACCTTCCTGGAAACCTGTTAGTTCTTCATTTTCCTCTCACCTGCCTCTGTAAGGAAAAAGCTAACTCTACAAATTGTGAGTAGATGGATACTGTAGTATGAGCAAAAATGACACCTGGTATTTTTTGTTTATGTGCACACAGAAAGTTTGCTTTTTTTGTTTTAATTCTTATTAATTTTTTGAGATCAAGTACAAACCTGACACATGACCACCTGTAATCACTCTCAGGATGTGCCTGCAGTGTACCTGCAGGTGTGGCTGCAGCACATGCAGATGTTCACCAGCGGTGCAGAGGGGGCAGATGGCACACTCGTGCTGACAGCACACTCGTGTGCAGTCTCCAGAGGGTTTCCCAGCTCCTGCAGCCCCTGCCTCCCCAGCCTGCCTGGTCAGTGCACACACGTGGCCCACTTCCCAAAAGCTGCAGTCTTGCCTGACATGATTGCTGAATAGATGCCCTCTTAAAGCTGTACCTGCTGAAGGAGTAAGATCTGTGAAAAGGAATGGGAGGGCGCTGTGACCCCAGGGCCCCCCAGCAGCTGCCTGGGTGCTGCCTTCCTCTGCTGCATGAGCAGTGCACTCTGCTGTCCACAGCCCACACTGCAGAGCCCAGCGGCTGCATTTGCCATGCATGTATTTGCCAGGGCAGCACACTCCCTGTTTTCAACAACAGCAGCAAATTTATAAGTTTAGGTTAACTTTCTATTAATCTGAAAAGCAGTCCTCTAGAAATCTGTAGACTAGGATGAAGGGAAAATAATAATGACCAAATGCTAGCTCTTCTCAGCACTCTCAGACCACAGAGGTGAGCACCAGGTCTGGTCTGGTGTAACTGAGGTTCACTTTGACTTGCAGCTTTGCAGAGTATATTTAGATAAACTTGTCTGCAATAAGTGGGCTATCCCAGATCCTCCCCGTTTGCCCTGGAAAACCAGGAAAAGGTGCAGCAGCATTCCATACCCTTCCTCCACCACCTGATAGATGAAGAGACTTTTCTCTTCCACATACATTGGAAGGGAGATGGAAAAGGAGAGACAGACTTGCATTCCCATTTCAGCAGGGATTTCAGGTTTCCCCCTTCCCAAAGACAAGCCAGAGCAATTCCAGTCCTTGGTCTCTTTCTCCTACCTTGGTTGCTGTTCATGGTGTAGATGATGATTTTCACACCAAATCTCACAGTGTGCTGGGTTAGGCATTCCCTGTTTACCTTTGAGGATGTCTTCCCCAAGGTGTGATTCAGCCACGCTATTGCACAGGTGCACTGCTCTGCACCTCTGTTCTTCTGGGATTATTCCTACCTCTCAGGTGTTGCAGAGGGAATCTCAGCACCTAACTCTTGTCCTAGATTGCAGTTTTCAGGCCTATGGGCTTAAATTGCTCCTTGGATTAGCTTTCAGGAGCCACTCTGGTCATACCACTGTAGTTGAACAAGCCTTCATTATTCAGCCAAAGTGGAGAAAAGGAATTGGGAGAGAAGTTATTTTTAAAGTACAGAGTCACACCAGAGTCCCCCTGCTGGGGAGTCCCCAGCCTGGAAAGCACTGACCAGCCTTTCCCATAGCAACAGGAGTTAGGCTGAAACCTACTGCTGTGAACTGGGACACAGCTGGACCAGCTGTTCCTTGCTGGGAGACAAGGATGTCCTCCAGGCCCAGTTCACATGCTCCTTGTACAACACAAACATGAGTGATAAAAGAACTGATCCCCATGAGCTGTAGGAAGCAATGCTCTGGACTGCATCCAATCCCTCCCTGCTCATGCACTAAGGGGATCCTACAAGGAGAATCTTGGAAATAATCTTAGGAAATAGACCAGCATTCAGCTCAAATGGTCACAACATTCTGGAAGTGGGGCTTCCAACTTGACCAGATCTCTCAGCAAACTGCTTTCATACACAGCAACCAGACCTTCCATTCTGCATGAAAGCCACTGGCTGAGGTCAATCTGTTTCACTGATCCAACCCATGTCTCTGTTAAAATGATGAGGCAGATGAACATCTGCTGACATAAAAGAATTTTGGATATTATCCTCCCACTAGCAATCTTCAGTTTTGAATATTGTTTTTGCTTCTCTGAATCCTTCCCCTCCTGACAGGCAACAGAGAGCATGACCTGCATAGCTGAGCTTGACTGAGATAGAGGTGTTCAATCCCCACAAAACTGGAATAGTGCACCTTTCTCTCCCCAGTCACTTTTTAACAAGGTTAATTACTAGACGGGAAGTGCACAGTGCAGCCCTCACTTGCAGCAGCCCAAGGGTTTCAGGTTTTCCATGCTGACCAAAGCTCCCTTGCTCACTCAGAAGGCAGGCATCTGGAAGAGGGGCTTATTCTGGCTACCTGACAACCAAACCCTGTGGCCTCAATGTGCTTCAGCTTTCCACTTGGACAGGCTCTCCTTGTTCCCCATGCTGCACTCACACTAAACATGCATGAAACCCTTCTCACACTGCTCGGTGCCCTGCTAACCTTGGCATTCTGTCAGCTTTTCCCACCTTTCTGCACAAGCAAGGGAAAGGCCTTGCAGCACAGATAGTTGCATGACAACTCCTCCTCCCATGTTTCAGTAGGACAAATGGAGTCCTAGGGAAAAGCACAGGATGATGATGTTACTCTTTGCCTTGCTCTGTAAGGCAGTGATGTTATTCTTTGAGATTCTGTAACATATTATGGAATTCACAGGGTTTTTCCTACATTTAGAGGTAAATCATCAGGTGAGAACAGTTACTCATTGCCAAATTAACCATGCCTACAGGGAACAAGCCAAGCAGAGGGGCTGCCAGTGACAGCTGTGGAAGGAAAGTCAAGGGCTTGGGAGAGTAGGTTTATAGGTAGGAAATCTTGGGAAAGCAGCTGAGAATTATTAATGTCTGAAATATTTCTGGCCAGAGTAAAGAGAGTCACAGTGCATTAGGAGCAACCATCTGTTTCACTTACTGGTGCAGCCCCATGGCTTTGACAAGGCAGTGGAATGGGCAGGACTGACCCCGGAGCTCCACAGAGGTCTGGAATTCCCATGCAGAGATAACCCCTAAAGCCCAGTGAAGGTATAAAGCTACAGCACCTCACACTGCAAAGCATCCAAAGCACACAACCCTGCTCCTTTTACAGGCTGAGAGGTTGCCTGAATTTCACAAAACATTACATAAAAGAATTTTATTACTCTCCATTAGGCTTTTAATTCTTAAACTTTTATAACAGGAAACTTTGCAGGACAAGGGGAGTTACTAAATACATCCTCCTCTTCAAGTTTTGGGATTTTTTGTACACTTCATATACTGAACATTATGCCCTGTGGTGTGGAGTATCCCTTTGGTCAGTTTGGATCACCTGTCCCAGCTGTGTCTCCTCCCACACTCCCAGGCATCCACCACCTCCTCCTCAGCATGGCTGTACAAAAATCAGAAAAGGCCTTGGCTCTGTGCAAGCCCTGCTCAGCAGTAACAAAAAAATTCCATATTATCAACCCTGTGTTCAGCACAAATCCAAAACACAGCCCCCATACCAGCCACTGTGAAGAAAAGTAACTCTACCCCAGCTGAAACCAGCAGGGCTATTTAACAATTTCAGGCTGAAAACCTGAAAGTCAAAGAACTGACTTGTGTGCATGTGAAAGGGGAAAATGTGAAAACCCTACTGGCCAAAATCACCTTGAAAAAATTCCAGATTAACTGAAATGCATGATGACAGTTCATCCTTCCACAGAGACAAGGACATACTGTGGAGAATTGGCAATTGCTCCCCAGCCCTGTGCAGTATTTCTGTGCCAGGAATTGCATGAGAAGTAATTAAGCAACATTCACAAAACAACGCAAGCTGGAATATTATCTCTAGCATCTTTGTTTTCTAAAATACTTGTTCACTTAATATTTTGATCTATATCCTGTCATTTTAAGTGTTCTGTGCAGAATCACATCTGTGATCTCTCTTCTCACAGTAAAACTTCCTAAGACACATTCAATTGTTCATTACTGCTTTTTTAATTGTCTTGGCAAGGTCAGTCAGGAACATGCTTAGTTCTAGCTCACCTTCTCACCATCAGTCAAGAGTTGGGAGGATTTCTCAGT